ATGTACAAGCTGTACCTACTGAGACTTTTGCCAAAAGTAAATAGTAGCCTCTTTATTGAAATCCTCAACAGTGTTGCATCTGAGTGTGGGTATGGGCGAGGGGGAAACTGCAAGGCTAGGATGGCCACCAACATGGTGTCGATAATCTCTGACAAGTGTACCCTCCATTCCTTCTCCCTCCACTTCTACTTTTCTTTGAAGTTTAACCCTAACAAGGACCAAGAAAAAAAAATCACATCTGATTGAAGACACTCTTCCTTTGATCTAGATCCATGCTGAGAACTAGTGACCTTGGGATCCCTATAGATGGAGGCTGATGATTTTTGGAAAAGGAAGTTGAATGACAATGGCTCTCCTCTGCCACGCAGTTTTGTTAGGTGACCATTCCCTTTGTAATGCCTAGAAAAAGGCTTCCCTTGTTAGTGATATAGATGCTATGGGAATGAACCATTTGGAGTCCTGGCAAATCTTGTATTTGAGTCTGGTCCTTTCTTGCTCAGACTTTAGCACATCTGTCTGAGTGTCACTTAGGTGATTTGCTTCCTGTTGTTTCTAAAGAGTTGAGCATTGGGTATTTGCATCTCAGGCTCGCTTCTTAAACCAAGTCTGGCTTTCATTTGTTAATCATGAATGATTCATAACAATAACAAGTTAAAATCAATATCTCCAGGCAAGGTTTGGGGTTGTATTATCTAGTGTCTTCAGAGAAACAATGGGATATGAAGAAACCTATGGAAATAGATTTACTCTGTAAGTTGACTCCAGCAGTTATGGAACCTGCTAAGTTCCATGGTCTATCATACATAAGCAGGAGAAACAGAACAGTGGGTGGTATAGTGCCAGTTCAAGCCTGAAGAAGGAAGGAGGGGGTATGTTTGGGGATAGAAGACAGTAGGTAGGATAGCTCTGATGGGGGAGGTCCTTCTGTATATGTTTATCTTATTGGTTGTTGAATAAAGCACTGTTGGCCAATAGGGAAGCAAGATAGGTGGGACTAGGAGTCGAGGAGGATTCTGGGAAATGTAGTAAAAAGAAATTTTGTGATCTAGGCAGGAAGTGACATAGCAGGCAGACTCAGAATATGATCAGGGACAAGCAGGAAATCACTCTCTTCCTCCTCCTCTCTTTTCTGAAGTTGCCATGTGATCCCAGGAAGAGGACGCTTGTCCGTCATCCTCCATAAGATAAGTCTTTATAAAATATATAGATTAATGGTTATGGTTGATAATTAAGACTGATCTAGCAGATAAGAAATCCTAGTCATTGGCCAGCAGCATTGTACCTAATATAAGTCTCTGTATGTTATTTTGGGCACTCATGTGAAGGCGGGGCTCTGACGGATGGAGGAAAGATTTATCGTTACATAGCTCAAACAGGGAATGTGAATTCTCCTTTCCCTTTTTGCTCTATCTGTCAAGGGCTGAAGATATTTACATTGCATATTCAATAATGCTAGCCTGTGGAGGTGAGAGTGTCTTCTCTAGCTGGTCCATCAAATCAAATGCTGTCTTTTCTAGACATAGTGAGAATAACCTTTTTCCAACTCTCAGGGCATCTCTTAACCTAGTCAAGTTGACACATACAATTCTGGTCAAGCTTAGAAACAATGAGGGTATCTGGGAGAGGAGTGTCAGTTCCTAACTTGTCATCATGGTGGCTGTGGGGTTTAGAAGTTAAGGGTAGTGAATGAGGAAAAGCCTGCCCTGCTGGAGAGCAGGGAGGGAGGGCTGGGAGCAGGTTGTTGTGAGCATAACATCTCCATCCAGTCTGACTGAGTGGGATTAACTCCCCCATCTGGGATCTTACAATCTCCTGCTGCCCTCATCTCTCTAACCCTTGTTTTACCTCTTCAGAGCCTCCTGGAACCCTAAGGAATTTATTAATGAGGTCCAATTATGAGAAATTTCAGGGTTTTAATCAACTTTAAATGTATGGTTGAAGGGTCCCGGAGTGAATGCACATTAAACAGGATTTGCTATGAAGTAGAGAATTGATTTCCCTGCTGTTCCTCAATTTCAGTCCTACAGGCCCTTCCCCACCATCCATAGCACCCCCATGCTCCCTTTCTCCTCCTCCTCCTCCTTCAGCCCTGCTGTCACACAGCAGTGGATTTCAGCAGCCTCTCACCCCCACCCCCAGCCCCACCCCCCATTTTGAAACTATGGACAAGCAGAAAGCTGTAGACTAGTAGCACTGGCTGGCTGCTGTCTCAGTCCTTTCCAACCTCACTTGTGCTTTTCAGCTAGGTGCTCTGGGAAGACTTTTCCTGGTCATTTCCATTGTGGTCTCTAGGGCAAATAGACTATTTCCTCTTCCGGGATATTTTTGAAGACAGATGAGAGGCTTAACAAAAACACTTGGAATAATTCTTTAAGAAGGTTTTTCCAAACTCCAATGTAAAGAAACAAAGACTTGAGTGAGAGAATCAGCCCGGAATACTGTTTTGTTGTCCATTCCTGATGCCTCAAGCCTTACAGAACAAACTGTAGTTTCCCGCCTGTGGAAACTACAGGTTTCCGGGGCGTGGTCTCCTGTGCCTCTCCTTGCCCCCGGAGTCACAGCCTTCCATCAGCTGCTGTGGGAATGCCACACGTGGTATTCCTGAGGCCACTTTCTCTCCTGGGAGAAGCCAGGGCTCCACCCTGTGCGGTTTCACAAAATGATGCTGGACTCCCAGGAGCCTGTGGCTGTGAGCTGCTAACATCCTCCCAGCTCCTGCAGGGCTCTTCTCAGCTGCTAAAACATTCTTCAAGGGAAGACTCTTAAAGGGACCATTGCACATTGTTGCCAGGTTTTTCACAGCTAAGCATTCTGTTTTTACAAGGTGGGAGGTGCAGCTTTTGCTTTGTATTTAAATGAAGCAAAACAGGTTAGAAGATTGGCTTTCAGAGATGGGAGTCTCAACACAGTTGTTAAATAATGTCATTTATTAAAACTAACACACACACACACACAAATATATATATAT